TTGCAGTTTAAGATCACCCAAACACACTGGTTAGCAAGTGCACAGGCCAAGAGGGAGGTGAGGGGAAAAAGAGAGCTGCTCTGAACAACCTGGTCTAATAGAAGGTGTCCCTGCCCATGAGAGGGGGGTTGTAACTTGATGATCTTTTAAGGTCCCTTCCAAGCCAAACCATTTTATGACTCCTTGGGCAAGAGCACTGGCTTAAAGTGCATTACAACCTGCAACCATACCACCTCCGTACCACTTGTTACTGCTTCGTTTTTTGGTTTGTTTGGGTTTTTTTGGCATGAAATCAAGTAATTCCCTCCTTATTCACCATTTGTTTAATTCAGCTTTTCCTGCCTCTCTTTCTGAAGAAACTTGATTTGACTCTTATTCATCTTGCATATTTCGTTTGAAAAAAAGATACAGTAATAATCATGTCTACAAAGATAGAGATGACACTTTTAGCTTCTTCACCCACACAGATCTAGTAAAAGTTTTGTTTCAAATCAACCTTTTAATAACTTGTTTGAAGCAGAGGTTTCTGTTTTAACATTTACCATGCAAGTTATTGCTAATTCTTGTATTATTTCTCTCTGTAGGTTCAAACATACTGAAGAGTTTGTCTTCCAAAACGTAAAGTGAATCTGCTTCATAGAGTTCTGTCCATTGTCTATCTAATGTCATTTTATTTAAATGTACATAAAAATGGCTTTCTCAATTTTGATACAACATTAAAGTACACAAACAAACAAACAAAATTATCACACAGTGATATTATTGGTATTTTTAATCTGGTCTTAAAACAGGTAAGTAAAATGACACTTGGAACAAAGAGTATTCACACTATCTGTTTTGCAGATAGTTTGTTATGTTTCCTCAGACATAGCTTTTCCTATCCACTCATCCAAATAAAAGTCTAGTCAGGGCTCATAATTTTTTTTTTCCTTTACTACTACACTGCCCTATTCTATGTCCTCCAGAAGGGCAGTGGTGCCCCATTTCAGGTTATTTAGGGCTTCATTGCAAAGGTAATTTTTTTCCCATTATTTTTATCACTCATTCCTCAATTCTTCAAACTGCCCCAATTTCTCTATCCCACCAAGTAAAAGCTACTTCTATCAAAACCTGTGCAATCTACCACCAATCCCAGACATCATTTCTATTTTGGTCAGAAAAAATTGGCTGCCACCCTCCCATTGCTCACTGACTATGTCTCTGCCAATCACCTTCATGCCTGATCCCACGCTGCCTCTAATGCCTGGAAAGGAGTAGCCTTCAGGCTTCCTACAAAGCCTCGTCATTGTTCTTTGGTTTCTCCTCAGCCACTGAGCCAAATTAAATAAATAAATCAGAAAGTTCAAAGGCAGGCTGGTACCTCAGCCCACTCACTGCACTGAACTCTAGCAGGCCTCTCACTTCCTTCCATAATGCTGGAGAAAGACTCAAAAAAAAAAAAAAAAGAAAAAAAAAAGCCCCAATAGTAGGAACTGATGCACACTGTGCTCACCAACCGGCAGTTAAAACGATCTGTAAGTACAGATCAGGTTTCCAATGGATGCTGAACCTCATCTTTTATTCCTTTGGCACGTAAGTACCTGTCTGTGCACAGGAACACTGACTGCTACCACCCTCTGCACAGAAATCTTGCTGATCTGCTGCTTCACAGATTATTCGACTGGCCTCGTGCAGTTTTTACAAACAAGCAGGCAAAGAGAAAAAGCAAGAAATACAGTTCTCCCTTCACACTTTATCTCAAATCTCTCTTCTCCTCTTCTGCCAAAACTCAAGCCTGTACCCCAGCGATTTCATACCCATATTACTATAATCTCATTTCTGAGACTCTGAAAACAAGTTAGGTAACGCTCAAGGCATCTGTGGGATTTTTTTTTTTAAGCTAGGCATGAAAAAGCAGGATTTTTGAAATGCTGAGTTTAAAACAATAAAATGTATTATGCAATTCAAACTCTGCAAACCTGCAAGTATTAACAGATGAATACATCACAGTCAATTTTTCTATTTAAAGGGAATAAATTATATCAAGTCAATATACATGTATAATCACTCATTTTAGATTCATATATTATACACCCTAACTAATCACAGAGACAAGTATAGTTACAGTCAGTTCTCTAAACCAGTCTGATTTTCTTGAGCATGAATATGAACTGCTGGTCTTCTCCTCTCTCTCAAAGTCTGCACTTTGCAGACAACATCAAACCTAAGTCAACTGAACACTGAGAAAGTGTCAGGTGAGCATAATAGTATCTTAAGTCCTGATCTGCCAAGGGCATCAACAGATGGGGCATCTGCACATCAAACACCTGCACCCACAAAAACTTGTAACTAACTTATGCTGTGTAGCACAACTTAGTGCATTGGTAATTTTTTATAACATGATCACTGTAAAAAATTACTACTTCACTTAAATACCTCAAAGTACATACATTTAAAATAACATAGAACTAAATCACACACAAATTGAGAAAGTAGAAAGAAATGGCTCATGAGTATGTCTCTCTTTTACCCTTCCTAGTCCCTGCTCTATTAGCACAGATGTTCCAGAAATACTTTTTCACCACTTGAATAAAAAGAACTAAGATCCTGATTGTTATGTAAATATAACAGTAATCTGAAACATGGGCAAACTGCGCAATTGAGATTCCTTCTCAATTCCCCAAAAAGTATTGATGTTGAAGTGTTGTGTTACTATTTAATAATACCAAACATTTCAACTTCACTATTTACAACAGACCATACCATGTACAAAAATCATTATAAAATATATAACTTCATAAGCCAGTTAGAGGAACATCCTGTTTTCAGCATGTTGAGTGGTCAGAGTATTGAAGATACCAAGAGAAATCTCAGCCCTGCCCAGGAATAGCTTTCTCTGTCTCCCACCATAAACTGTTTTTTCATGGGCCGAGATCCTGGTAACTCTCCAAGGAACTGATACATAAAACTGCAAACTGACCGGAAATGGAGCATGGAGCAAAGCATTCAAAAAATACACTCAGCTTTTAACAAATCAAAATACGTTATGCTGAATGCGTGTTCTGTGAAAGTCTCAAAGCAGTTTTTTACTTTCTGTTAAACTCAAAAAAATGAAACCAAAACCCTATGTGTCTTACCTGGTAGAGCTCTTCGAGGTTGTATTTAATAGAAATACTACTCTGTATTGCTCCCACTGCTTCATGTAGTTTTTGCCAGGTGTCGTGAGTGTAATTCTCGGGTAATTTGGGTCTTTCTGTGAAGTAAGACACAACTAGTTGAAAAACAGCTACCCAAGAGGAGCCTGCAGCAATCTCGCTCACCCTGCTCCATCGAGTCCTGCCAAGCCGTGCTGCGCTTGCCCGTGTAACTCTGGCACTGCCAGAGGGAACACCAATTCCACCCGAGACGACCAAACCCTTGCACGACGGACATGATCCCCTGGCTGCTGTGCTTGACGCCCGTGTTACTTTTAGCGAGGTAACGACCCTCGCCTGGCTCTGATCAGCGCTGACACTAAGGTGGCTTTCTGCCCGCTGCCCACAGGGCGCAGCCGCCGCTGCCCCCGCGCACGGAGCCCCCACGCGTGTCCCCGGGAGCCCTGGCACGGGCGCAGTGCCGGCGGCGGGCGCGGTATCATTCCGGGGCAGCCGCCCCTCGCCCCGATAAGGCGCCGGGGCGAGTGACGGCTGCGGGGCCCCGCCGGCCCGGCCGCGGGGAAGGGGCGGGGAGCGGCCGGGGCCGCGGTAAACAAAGGTCGGGCCGGGGCCGGACGGCGGGGCCGGGCGCACCTGCCGGGGCAGAGGGCCTGGCCTGCCCCGTACCCACCTCTGAAGTTCTTGATCACGAGTTTCTTGGAGGAGGCGGTCGCGCCTCCGCCTCCTCCTCCCGCGGCGCGGGTGGCGGTGGCGGCCAGCGAGGCGGGCTTGGTGAGCCCGTTGGTGTGCCCCACCAAGGCCGACAAGTGCGGCTTCTTCTGCGGCTCGTCCGCCATCTCCGCCCCGGGCGCCGTGTCCGGCCGGGGCAACGCGCTGGGCTGGGCCGGGCCGGGGCCGCTTGGTCCCCGCCTCCGCTCCCCTCCTCCTCCTCCTCCTCCGCCGCCACCCAGCCGCCCTCCCCCACTGCCCGCGGGCGGCTGCCAAGCGCCGCCGGGCCGGGCGGCACCGACAGCCGCCTGCCAGCCCCGGGGCGCCTCGGCGGCTGGCTCGCCGGACGGGTCCGCGTCCGTGCCCCGGTCTCGGCCACCCGTGGCGCTCGGGCAGTGGCAGCTTCGCTCACAAGATGGCTCCCGGGCCGGGGCAGCCTCCCGCGGGCCGGGCGGGCAGCGACAGCTCCTCTCGCCATCGCCTCGCAGCCCTTCGGAGCCCCCTGCTTCTTCTCCCGGGTATGCCTGCTGGTAGCCGCCGAGGGGCAGCCGGAGCAGGACCAAAAGAGCAGCCGCGCATCCCGTCCAAGCAACCCTGCTCACCGGCTCCCTCCAGCCCAGCTCAGACAACCGAGTCCAGCCTGCCCGGGCATGGAGCGTGTCCTTGTCTTACACGCCTCCATAGCGTTAGTGCCTTTAGGAGCCGCCTTTTCAAGAGTTAAAAGCTCCATTCAACTTTTTTGACCCAAGTTCAGCGAAACCCCCACGTAGCGCTCCCCGCGGGCAGCTCGGCTCCCGGCAGCGCAGCCAGCGAGGAGGGATGGGAGGGCGCTCCAGCCCCCGCGTTCTACCGGGCATTGGGGTCTCCTGCCAATGGGGTCCTGTCACACGGGGCTCACGGAAGGGCATCGCCCGCCACCTTTACGAGCCAACGCAACATGGGCGAGCAGGGAGGCCCTGCCGCTGCCCACAGAAATAAACACCACCCACGCACCGCTGAACGCACTGCGCGTCCCAGCGCACGAGGCTTATCACTGACGTGCCCCCTCTGCCCCGCCCACCGCGCTTTCCCATTGGCTACCGGGGCCAAGCCGCGCCCCCCCGCCACGCTGTGGGCGGGGCAGAGCGTGAGAGCTGCGATTGGGGGGTGGAGTCGGGCGGCTGTCACGTGACCCGCCTCGACGGGTGCCGGAAGCGGGAGGGGAGTTCCGGGAAGCGCCGAGCCGGGGACCCGGAGGGTGACAGGGAGTTGGGACTCTTGCCTTGCCTGCTTACGGTTCAATGGCGCACATCACCATAAATCAGTATTTGCAGCAAGTAAGCCAGATTTTTTCTGATTTTTTTTTTTAAATTAATTAGCGGGCGCTGAGTATGTGGGTGTAAATGCGTTACTGTAAATGGGTTGTCTTGTTTTAGAAATAGAACGAGCGATGTGGTGAAGAAATATATTTCTTCACACACGCCGTCTGAGTGCCGAGGGCCTGTACCTGGAATGCCCGAAAGGTGTGATGGTTTCTGGTGTAATGGATAGCGAGGTAACTTATCCCTGCCTCGACACGAGGGATGGTGAGAGAGTGCAGGAACAGGAGCAGCTCAGGGATTCGAGAAACAGGGATTTAAGATCAGAAATGCGGAGACACCGAATGTACGGCAGGGAGGATGGAGAACCGGGAGCAGAATCACAGGGACACCATCTGGACTTAATTGTCAGTGTCAAGCTTTCAGTGTCCACTCCTGCTGGTTCTTTCGGGACCATTGCATTCTCATCATTGTTATCTTACTGCACCTGACATCAGTCAAGTCAGTTAAGTGAAGGGCAGAAAAAGAGAGCAATTGTTTGGGTTTTAGTCTCCAAAAATGGAGCATCTTGAGATCACTCTGGACAAGGATCTGCTCTGAAAAGTCAGCATCTTGTCCAGTGGACAGTACATTGAATATTTAATAGGAAAAAACTATTTAAACCCTACAAAATTAGCTCTTCCTTTTCCTGAAGGAAAAAATCACTGCCAATTTTTGCAAGAGTTCAAGCAGCGGATTTTCCCTCTTTTGCTGATATTTTAGTCTATAATTTTTTCCCATTTTTTTCCATTTGATATATATTTCCATACAGCAAAAAAAATTTTTTTCCATATTGGGACACAAAAATATGACAAATAAAGCACGAGCAGTGGGAAATGAACTCAGAAGAAGTAATATCTAAAACTACTTCCACAAGTAAAGAAATTTCCACTTTGATGTCACAATAAACTGTTCAGGCAGACTAATGTTTACAAGGAGTTATCTTTAGCAGGAAGCAGAATTAAACCATTCTCCCACAGAATATAACATTGACAGTCTTAACAGATTTCAGAAGTGTTCTGTATAGATGCCAGTCTAATATCAGATATTGCTTTTGAATGATATCTACATCTTAAGTCTGCCTGACTTTATTTTAAAGCATTACTCAAAGATTGTAACTTCACATCTGTGTTTGATGCCCATGAGTCCAACTGGAATATGGCTCACAAGTGCTGTTTCACAATGCTAAGCCCATGTACGTTGTGTGGGGATCCTCTGGTTTGCTTGCGGCCTACAAATAAGGAAAAAAACACAATAGTGTTCACCTTGTCTTTTCTCTGGAACCTTTTTGAAAACAGGTGTATTGAAAATACAAAATTACTCATTCAGTTTTAAACTTTTTAAAAACTCAGATTTGAGTTGATATGAATGAGGATGAACAGTGGTAACAAGAAGGTGGCTTCTGTAGTTGTGTAAATATATTGTGTGCGTGTTGCTGGATTTTATTCTGTAATGAGGCTGTTTACTTGGTAGGTACAAGAAGCCATTGACAGCAGAGATGGACAATTTTGTGCAGAATTAGTATCATTTAAACATCCACATGTAGCAAACCCAAGACTACAGGTGAGAATCTAGTTTTGATCTTTCTTTTGCTCTGCTTTCAGTTTTCCTAGCTTTCTATGTGGGTTCCTTTCACTTGGAGATAAATCTCAGAAACCTGTTTCATAGACCAGAGCAGGATCCCCTTGTAGTTTTGCTTCTCTTTTCTTCTTACAGGAATATTCTATATTTCTTTTTTTTTTAATTATTTTGTTTCATGAATGGTTCTTAGTGTTCTGGATAGGTACAGTCTTGAAAGTCCTTTCTCACCAGGTCTACATTAGTAATTAACATGACAGAGTGGAAGTGACTATAGAGAAAAAAAGCACTGGAAAGGAAGGGTCTGGTGTTTGTGATCTGTGCATTTCAAATGCTTTTACTTAAGGCTGGCTCTGATCAGGTTCTGGAGACAGAATGCACAGTAGCAATTCATTGCACTGAATGTGATTTTTAATATAACTTAAGATTCTGATAGATGCCATGATACCAGATGGTCTCCAGAGGTCCCTTCCAACCCTAACAGTTCTGTGATTCTGTGAAAACTGCCACAACAAAATATCCATATGACACTCTGTTTCTGGTGCATTGGATATTCCTTTAATGTTTTGTTTTATTCTATACTTAGCTTCCATCTCCAGAGGAGAAGTGTCAACAAGTTTTGGAGCCACCATATGATGAAATGTTTTCAGCCCACTTAAGGTAAAGATGGGCCTGGAATGTAAAGTCAGTTGTGAGGCATCCAGCAGGGATGGGGAAGGAGATATCCTTAAGTTTACTTACCTATTTTAAAGGGCTTACATCTGGAAACTTGGTATTTATTATTCTTAAAAATAATACAAGAGCTGCAGGAAATAAAGACTTTCTCCTCTCCGTATAAAGTTTGCTCTGTGAACCTGGCAGTCATCTGCATATAGCCTTTGGCACAGCTTTGGTTTCAGTGTTTCCCTTGCTCTGTATGCACTAGCTGCATAAGAATTTTCAATGAAATAAATAAGAGAAACATTTTTAAAAGGGAATTTTAGTCATAAAAGTACTCTTAAGACAGCTGTAGTACCTAAGTAATTCTGTGAGACTTTTATTTAAAAAAAAATTGCATTAACACAGTCTTTAGTTCTCTTTCAACAGTCTTGGATTTTTGTTTTTTATCTAATCTTGTTGACCATTTCAGTAAGCATTAGCTTAATAAAGCAAATCCTCACCCATCTCTTGGATCAGTTTTCTACAATTATCAAGCTTAGTGCTCTGTTAAAATACTTGTGCCATTTTGTTAGGAACATTCTAATCACATTTCTGTGTCTCTTAAATAAACTATAAAACTTTATGCCTATTAAGAGACAAAAAGAAATATTTGTTTTACATGTATTTTCTGATGCACTAATGCACCTTTTCTTTGACAGGTGTACTTATGCTGTTGGAAACCATGATTTTATAGAAGCATACAAATGCCAGACAGTTATTGTCCAATATCCTTTTCCATAACTCTTGTATATTGTTTTCAGATTAACTCTGTCTTCTTGTAGAAAAAGTTCTCCTTATGCCTTCTAAAAATCTAATAGAATGTGATTTGCTTCTACTTCAGCTGCTTAGGTCCCTAAGCGAGGAAATCCAGATACGCTCTTCTTTCAACTTTCTGTAGCGCTAAGAAGGAGTCTGTCACTTGGCTCTCAAATAGAAAATTAATTTCTCCCAGAGTATAGAAGACCCTCAAATCATTAATATACCTTGCACTTTGTACTTGGCTAGAGGGGAAAATAATGATAAAGAAGCTTCTATCTTATCTCTGGCCAGTGTTTCTTGCTGCTGCTGCCACATGAAGGAATGCTTGGCTGTGCTCACGTTCTTCCATAATGTGTCTTTGCATCCTGACTCCTCAACTACTTGATACTTTTTTGGTTTCTAGTCTTTCATGTAGTAATATATGGTACTATTCCACTGCTGTTTCTTAAATATGTGCTTCATGTCATGGCATTTTAAATTCTCCTGAATATATTACATCTTTCCTGCGAGCATTTCAGGCACATAAAGAAGAAAATTGGTGAGTACATCATAGAAAGCTACTAGAAACTAGACTCGTCTTTTCCGTCTGATACTGTAGTAGTCAAATAAAATTATGGCTATAATTTTTATTTATCCCTAGTGATGCTTAAATCCAACCTAATTGCTTTTGCTGCATGTTTGAGTTTTTATGTTCAAAAGTGTGAAAACTAAACATCTGCACCTAATTAGGTAGAATGGTCCCTAAGTGAACACGTGAAGAGATTGTTCAAAGGGAGTTGGTATTTTAAAAAGTCACATGAGAATAGGCTTTAGAAATAATAATTGCAGTGTAGATTAATAAAATGCTGAGAACTTGAAGAACTTTCCTTTTAAAAAATGCATCCATCTTTATTTAAAGATTAATGTATACTTTCTGATTTTATGATCAACTAACAAAAAAATTGCTTTTTTCTCATGTTTTACTTATTGTATGATTTGCATATACTAAGTATATTGTGTTTTACTTTTTCAGGGCCTTACCTATTATGTATGCTGTAGCCCTTGATCTTCGAATTTTTGCTAATAATGTAAGTAGATCTGACTAACAACCTCATTGCTTTTACCTGTTTGGTATTTCTACAATGGAAATTTTTCTAGACTTTATTGCACAGCCTAATTTTGTTCTTTAACTCATTATTTAGGATATTGTTGACAAACTAAATTCATCCAGTCCTATTGAAAAATGAGGTTGCTCAGTCTGTCCATCTCTCATTTGCAGCTTGAACTAGAGGGGTTCTGAGGACCTGCATGCAACTCCTAGCAATTGCTTAGAACTTAAGAAGGGATTGAGTACTTTCTTTATTGAGTAGCATATGTCACAATTCACTATTTCCACGTGTTATCCGTGGGATTTGGTGGAAATATTTATACGAATGCAGATATCACAGACAACTGAGCTAATCTAACCATTCACCACATCTGAAGAGGGGAGTTTCTGCTCCTTTCCCCTTTTCGAGCTGCTTTTGATGCTCATTGGAGCCCTTTCTGAGCTATACAACTGCTGACATGCAAATAATCCCCAAATTTACATTATTTTTCTTGTGCTGGTGAATTGAAGTAGCTTGTGTAGAGGTCTACTGAGAACTGCTAGGCCAAGGTAAGTGGCAGAGTTGTGATTTGCTCCTAGTCACTTTACCTGAAGAGGTGAAGCTAAAGTTCAAGTTAGGTTAGAGTTTTTATGATAATATCCACTCAGAACTCTCTTGTGCTCTTATCACTCTTACCCACGAAACCACACATGTGGCATGCTTTCACAGAGAATATTTTTTGTGTGTGTGACTGCTCTGTAACAATTTGTCTCAGTCTGAATGAGACAAATCCATATATCTGAGATACATGAGAAAGGGGAATGTTGAATCAGTCATACTGGAAGTATTTGGACTCTGTCTTCTAACTGTAGTATATTCAAAGAATGTGGATGCAGAGAAGACTTCTGTAGCAGAGGATGCATTTCCATTTCTTTTCTTTATGTTTCAGCTAGTGAGAATGCAAGCACTATAATAAAACGTTTTAAAAAGTAATAAATACCTACTTGCTATGTTTTTTCTGTTGAAGTTCTGCATTAGTCAGTGCATGGATCTTTTCCATGCATTGACAACTGAATTCTTTTTTTTTCTCTTGCTGCTGTAACAGGTTCTATGTTTCTTCTGGAAGTCTCAGGTCTCAGTATTGTGTGTTACTACTGGAAAATTTTGCATATGGTTTAGAAATAAAATCTAGTCTTCATGGCCGTGGAGAGAAACTGAATAAGGAATTCTAAAACTCAAACTCCGTAATTTTTTTCCAGGCTCTTGGTCTTTGTAAACTTGAGTTGAAGTTTTAATGCTCCAGTTCAGGTATTGAACCTGAATTTAGGTTTCTGAGACTTGCGTATTTTCAAAGGACTGTCCCCCTGTGCATTAGATTTGGGACATGTTCAGGAGCCTCTCCAAGTGTTTCCTTTTATTCTGTGAGCCTGGTTGCCTTCTAGATTTGGGAGATAGCAGGCATGACAAATCTATTGCTATAATACTTTATAAAATGCTATATTAAGGAACCAAATTGTTTGCAACCCAGCAAACAAGGATGTAGAATTACATATTGTTTCTTGCTGTGTAATTCTAGGCAGATCAACAGCTTGTGAAGAAAGGGAAGAGCAAGGTTGGTGACATGTTGGAAAAAGCAGCAGAACTACTGATGAGCTGTTTCCGAGTCTGTGCCAGTGACACGTAAGTGAAAGACCCTCTATAGAACTTGCCCTACGAAATTGTTAAGAGCTTAATGAACTTTACTTTAGCTTTTCCCACTTACTAAGGCCATGTATGGGTAAGAATAAAGACTTCTGAGTCTTGTTTCCTGTAATTTTTAGTCTGTTCTCTCTTGACTATTGACTAGAAATGGAGAGCCCTCACTTCAGGCTGCATTCCCAGCAGATGTTGTTGAGAGGGACTGATTATGTCCCTGTTTCTCAGAAAAGGTGATTAGTGCTTTTGTGCCCTGTTCAATTGTGAAATTTGCTCCATTAGGCTTAGATGGAAAAGCCTAATAAAAGATGAAAACTTTGGTCTCCAGTCTTTGCAGTTTTAACACTTCTGAAGTGTAAAAATGCTTTTTTTCCCAACCTTTCATCTCAAATATTATAAGTCACTGCTGTGCTAGTGTATGTGTTACCTGCAGACTAGAGTAAGAGCCCTCATGCAGATGGATAGTACTTTGCATGACACCTTTTCATGGCATTGAGAAAAAATGTAGCAGAGGTATTTATATGGAAACACATGTTCTGTTTTAACAATGCTGGTATGTCTATAAAAAGTTTAAGGAATGTGGCAGTGACTTTTATTTTCAGACACCTATGTTTATGCTAAAAATCCATAAAATATCTATTAAGTGAATTTACTATAAAGACAAAATAGTTATTTTCTTAAAGGGTTCCGTACTAGTAGATTTTTTCTTTTTGCTTTTGACAGTCGAGCAGGCATTGAAGACTCCAAAAAGTGGGGCATGTTGTTTCTTGTTAATCAGCTGTTTAAAATTTATTTTAAGGTAGGGTTCAAGTCTGGTAAGATGTGTTCTGTATTTCATACTCTAAGTCAAACCCACCCCTTTTTATATGATGCTATTTATCTACACTCTCTAAGCAAAATGTGTTTTTTTTTTTAACAGATCAACAAACTCCATCTATGTAAGCCCTTAATTAGAGCAATTGACAGCTCAAATCTGAAGGACGAATATAGTATGGCACAGCGAGTCACATACAAATATTATGTTGGACGCAAAGCCATGTTTGACAGTGACTTTAAGCAAGGTACTGTGTGCCAGTAAGACACATAGGAAGTCTTTCTGCTTGGTGTGAAATCTGATGTTGTATGTGACTCAAAACATGAGTAGAAGATGCAGTTGTGTTTGCATGGATTAAAGGAAAGTCATGCTGAAAGGTACAAGGCCCACAGACTGACTCAGAACAGAGATGAGATTATGTGACACTTCTAATTGTAGTATATGTCCAGTTTTAAAATATTTGCATGAAGTTCAGTGAGATTCCCTGTAGTCTTATGCATTATGTGTGTGCATTACAAAATGTATGAGCATCCAGAAGAATAGGTTTGTAAAAGGTTTCACAAAGGAGGCTTTGCAGCTCTTTTGTCCTCTTCATGTTGCTGTGTGCCATGTAGGAAATCTTCAGCAAACTGTAATGCAGATATTAGTTGCTCAGTGCTTTGATTTTGGAAGATGTAGAAACTGCTTTTCATAAATTTCTAGTAGATTTCACTAATAGAAATGGTTCTAGAGGTAAGGTGTACAACTTCATCATTAACTGAAGCCTCTGACCAAAATCTCTTCTGGAGCTGGTTTTCTTACTCTTAACACTGTCTTCTGCCTGTCAGGCTTATCATTTTTATCTGTTATTGGAAATTGCTGAGAGATTTTCGTGGTGTTATGCTGTGTGGTCTTGCTGGCACATTTCTGCAGTTCAGCAGATGTGTGCATTGCATGCAGCTTTCACCCACTGAAGAACCTAATCTGAATTTAGAAAATAGAGTGCTGTATCATCAGCACTTCTTGAGATTCTCTGCTCCTGTAATAGGAGCACAATAATATTACAGAAATGAGCTGAAAATTCCAATATTACTTGTAGCTGTTATGTCTGACATCCAGACCTTGGCAAGTTTTCTTTGACTTTATGAAGGAGAACTTACTTTTCTGGTAATACTCTGTATTTTGTGTGAATCTCCAATCTTTCTTCATGTATTTTGATTAGTGTGATTATTTTTTATGTAATTTCAAATGTCATGTTCAAGCTAGAGGTGGAAATTGAGCACAGAATTTGAGTTACAGTTTTAATCCGTTTTTGCTGTTGACTCATGTTACTGGTGCTTGCATTTGTGTCTGCAGCTGAAGAGTATCTGTCATTTGCCTTTGAGCACTGTCACCGATCAAGCCAGAAGAATAAAAGAATGATTTTGATCTACCTGCTGCCGGTAAAAATGTTGTTGGTGAGTAGATGTTACTCTTCTAGATAAGGGGAGGAAGGGGACACACACAGGTAATAAACCTGATGCTCAGTATTGTTCTTGGTTTTCCCTTACTGGAATTCAGAGGCTATGTTTTACCCCTGTAAGAGCCAGCACATGCACACTTTGTTGTTTGAGGACAAAAAACGTTGAGCTTTCATTTACAGCAAAACAGAAAAGGAGAAATGGAGGGTGGAAACACAGCCAAACAAACAAACAAATCCCTCCCCAGCCCACCTTAACAAAACCAACCCGTTCCTCCCACCCCTCCTGAAGGTACAATCTGATGATACTTCTGTAAGAAAGATATCTTTGAGTTCTTTGGAGAAGCACTTAGCGGTGTAACTTCTGTCATGTAGCAGTGTGCATCTCTGGTGATCAGCTGCACAGACGAGCACATTCACACGGGAATATGTGAATTCACTAGGATAAATTGATCTTTCACCTAGTGGAAGAAAGGAGGATGTGCAAACAGATGGGTGAGGACTGTTGAGAGGGGTTTGCCACAGCCTATCTTTGAGTTTTCTATTTGCACTTCGTATATTTGCCCATGTCAGAAGGGTCATGAGGTAGAGCATTTTGGTTTTGGAAAAATCACTGAAGACTGGTTAGTATCTGATCATTTTGTATTTCTGTTAAAAGAATGAAACACATCTGTTTCTTGTTCCTGTCCTTTCCCATGTGCTGTGTTAATATTTGTCTATCCCTGAATTAGTGCAATTATGCTAACAATTAATTCAGTGTAACCGAGGGGACAAGAATTAGACTTTAGAGTTTCCTCTTCCCAGCCCTGTTATGAAAGTTACCCATGGGTAATGTTATCACCTGCCTCTTTTGAGTTCCACAGTCTATTTGTGACTACTCTCCCTTTTCCATTCAATGCTCTCTTTCCAGTCCCTTGCTGTGTCCAGTGGGTAAAGGGGAAGCATAATGGGTATGATAATTGGCTTCTCTTTTCCGTTTTTTATTTATTGACTTTGTTATTGGTTACTTTCAGATCAATCAATGGTAGGGTTGATAAAGGAAAACTAACAGTCCTCCTAAAAACTGTCACAGTCCTGACTGGGTACCTTAAACTGGTGGGTTTGGTAGTGCTTAGAATTACTGTGGCTTTTCTGGAGCAGTTCTAATGTACAAGAGCCACTAAAGAAACTAGATAAAGGTCACTGTTTGCACAGTTACTTTTTTTAAATCAGAGCCTAAACATTAACACTAACCTTAAACTGTACTAAAATAGTTTGGATGTTGTTTTTTTTTAATTCCTAGCAGCTCTCAAGTAAACATGCAGCTGAGGTCTGCTCTCAGCTAATCCTCCATCCAGGAAAGGAGTTACCAACAGCATAGCGTGATGTAACTAAATTTAAAGTCTGACCAAGTCAATGTGCAATCTGATCTTTGTTGTGCACAGGGAAAAACCAAAGTTTCCTTTTGATAGTGTAGATGGTTCAGTCTTACCTGATTCAGCAAGGAGAATTAATTTTGTTTCTTTAAATTTAACATTTCCTCTCTCTCTCTCTCTTTTTTTTTTTGGAGGGGGGAAAGGAGGTTGGTGGTGGTGCTTGTTTTTTGAGAGGACATTTTTATTTCCACATGGAGGCAGAGAGAATAAAATCTGCTACAGACTGAGCTGGCATTTGACAGTGCTGCAGCACTGTTTGTATTCCCTTGGGAATGCTTGGTATTTCCACAGTTCTTCTGTTTGCAGATTAGATCATACAGTCATGACATAAAATTTGAATCTGCGTAGGCCTCATGGCATGGGATCTTGATTTTACACATTTGATAGCTGTTTCTTAATGCTAAGTATGAAGGCTCCCTAAATCATGATAAATCAGTAGTTATTGTGAGTTGAGCTACAAAGTGTTTGACAGGGACAAGGAGGTTGTCTTACAAATACTTTTATTTGCTTATTCTGTAGCATAAAAAAGTGGCTAAACATTTGTCTTTTTCTCTTCACAAATTTTTTGTAGCTTATTAGATTCTATTTAAAATGCATTTGACTTTACCCTGGAAAACTTGGAAACCATTTATTTTTCAGGGCCATATGCCAACAGTTCAGCTCTTAAAAAAGTATGACCTTATGCAGTTTGCTGAAGTAACAAAGTCTGTGAGGTATGATGCCTGTTTTATTGCTTTGTGTTCAAAAAGTATTAAGTAAAAGGTATTTATTTGGGATCATTGAGGAAGGCAGGGGATGCATATTCCTACCAAGTCAGAGAATTTCTTTTCTCGTTTGGGTGAGACCTTATTTTTTCATTTATTCATCCTTGCAGTGAAGGCAATCTTCTCCTACTGAATGATGCTCTGACAAAGCATGAGACCTTCTTTATTCGATGTGGAATCTTTCTTATCCTTGAGAAGCTGAAAATCATCACATACAGAAATCTCTTTAAGAAAGTGTAAGCATAACAAAACCTATATTTGGTTATATTTGGTCCTTAGTTCCCTCTGAGAGACCTGACTTCCTCTTGAAGTGAATTTATTGTAGAAAGGCTATTTTTTAAGAACCAGAATTTTTAAGTATTTTTCAATCACACATTTGTTCTGTTGTGTCTTTCAGATATTTACTACTCAAAACCCATCAGCTATCTCTAGATGCCTTTCTGATTGCCCTGAAGTTCATGCAAGTAGAGGATGTTGATATTGATGAAGTCCAGTGCATTTTAGCTAACCTTATATACATGGTATGTGCTGACCACTTGTTGTGTGGTCCTTCCAGACATGAGGCAGTAAAAAATATTGGACAGAGAATAAAAGTTTATTACAAACACCACATCAGTAATCCCACATTTTCTTGTGTAAAACAGTTGATTCGCTTGTGCTCAAAGTCAAATGTTTTCATTTACCCTGAGGACTTCCTCTAGTTCCTGCCTTTTTTTTTGCAGGAATCAGTTAAAATTGAATTTTACATTACAAATCTGGTACTGCCATTTTTTCTATATATGCATAAATATTGATTTAAAAATACAAACATTTTAACTGGGACCAAAAAGGATTTGTTCTGCATTTGAAGTAGGAGACTCTTGACCTTCTAACATTAGAAAAAAATAAAGTCAGATTTCTTTGGGTTTGTTCCACATTTTGTCTTTTACTCTAAGGGGATTTCAACTACTTATGAACAGATAAAGGCTTGAAATGTAAAGATTTGTATTAAATCAGAGGTTTTGGAGCAGCACTGCGATGTCAGCAAAAAAACGAAACACATCTCTCTTTCTGAAACAGATTATGTGATGTGGTGTAGGTCACTGGAAGATTTCTTTCAGTGTTGCAGCACAATGTTTGAAAAAGAAGTACTGTGTAATTTACTTTATTAGGTGTGGAATACTAATTGATTAAAATCCTCATTTTAAAGTGAACAAAGAGTAAATTTAGAAACACTTCTGTAAAACTGTGTCTCTTCAAGATAATGTAAGCAGACCAATAGGGTGCCCTGACAAGAGGCTCTCAAACTGAGAGGGTAGGTTGTACCCAAACACAGGGATGGTTCCAACTTTCTGCTTACTCTCTGAGTTGACATAAATTGGACCCTTATAGATATTAGGTTCAGTAGTGCAGCGGTGATTGAGCATACACACACTGCTATGGTTAGGTTATAGGTATTTGACTAGGTTACAGGCCTTGTGTTACCAGCTACCCGTACTAATGCTCCCTTTTTCTCCTTCTGCCAGGGTCACATTAAAGGCTACATATCCCACCAGCATCAGAAGCTTGTGGTCAGTAAGCAGAACCCATTTCCTCCACTGTCAACGGTGTGTTGAGTATTGCATCTTATCCATGCAAGTGCTTCCCAGGTACTCGGCTTGTCCAGTGGGACTGCTCCTAATCACCCCAAGGACACTGTAAATTGCCTGGTTCATGTCCAGAACTGGAATACCAGGAACTGTTTGTGGCTCCTTTCCCAGAAGGACCAAGACTGCCAGTGTTACAAAGTGCGTTGGAATGAAATGCTAACTTTTAAATAATAATTTCCACAGGCTTTCTAGATAATTCCAAGTATTTCATGAAGAAATAAAGCAAAGCATTCCAAATTACTCACAAATTACTTAAAAGTTTTTATAAAGTACTTTGTGTTACTATTTTTGCATTTATCTTTCAGAGAGAAGTGTCAGCCTTTATTACTCGTGTTAATCCATTCTTCAGAATGGAAATAATGTTTCCTTACATGGTTTCCATTTTTTTTAAGTCTCTTTGATAATCTTGCTGGTATTAAATATTCTCTTCAAGCTTTCTCTAAAAACTAGAGAAGTGCTTGACACCAAAAGCTTTACTGTGTCAGTAATACTTACAGGTTCAAGTAAATGTGGGCAATTTGTCTGTAGGTGCCCACAGATGGGTTTGGGTTTTTTTTTTGTTCTGGTGATATTTGTTTTATTTCTATAATGCTGAACAAAAGATGATGTAGCTAACTTACCCATAGTCTGTTTTAATTTGCTTCTGGGGAAAACACTACCACTGGATCCAGTATTTTAAGTGTTATTACCTTGGGGGGTCGGCTGGTTTGCTTGTTTGGGATTGGTACAATGTAACTTTGTCCAAACTGATGAGATGGTAGTTTTGGGGTTTTAAAATTATTTTAAAAGGAAATTAAACTTTTCTTTTCCTGTCTTTTACAGTTGGGTTTTATTTTATCCTCTAACTGACATGAACATTGTTCATAAGGGAAAACACGGGTACCATGTATGAGGGGAAGCACTTTTAAACATGATGAAAGTGTCAAGTCCTTACACAGTCATTAACACAGACATGTAAAAGAAGTTCCCCTGGTCTTTGTAAGTTTTACTTGTATGAATCTTGAAATAAGAGTATGAATTTGCTGAAGTAAACCTCAGGGTACCAAGAATTGAAAAGACTCATTGCCTTCTAGCACTATTTAAAATCCCAGAAAAACATCAAAGTGTTTGGAGTCTTAGGATGAACAGTTCTAAGAAATTTAAAGTTAAATCAGTTTTTCATAAAATAACTAGGTTTACTGCATCATGACTTCCACAGTACTGTGTGTCAGCAGAGGAAGGAAAGACAAACAGGCTTTTCTGTATAACTTGGAGTTAAATACGTGCCATCATTGCAACTTCCATTGCTGTGAATTGTGATACAGTCAAATGGGTGTACTGGCTGCATCCGTATGTTTCCTTGCAATGATTGGTAGGCGTTTGGTGCTTGAGAGTTGGTTGTGTTTGTGTCTTATTTCATTTTTTGTTTAACCCATATCATATACCTTGCGGTGTTGGTGAATAGAAGTGTTTCCCAGTCAGTGTCTTCTAGTGGCCAGGATCCCAGGATACCAGTCAGAAACCAAGTGCCCTTATACTCGGTAGCTAAAAAGCTTCCTCCAGCCAGTCGTTTGTCTACGGCCTTCTGGAGGTGCCCACAAAACTGCCTGTTTGTGAGGCTGATGTTGAGTATTTGTTTGCAGTCCTCAGCAGGAAGGTACAAAACCTGCAGCTCATCAACTTTAAGTTCATCACCTTCCATGCTCCAGCCACTAACTGTACCAGCCAATTTTGGAATTAAAACGTGTTCTGCAAAGTCTCTTTCAGGGGTGCATACAGGAAGCTGGTAGTTGTTGCACTTAACATGCTCTTGAAGTTGTAGCAATGCAACGTTGTTCTCACCAGTGTCTTCATCATACCGGATGTGTATGTGCTTCTCGCTAACTTGCATTATCTTCTCAGTTCCACTCGTTCCATTAGGCCCTGTGAAGCAATGGCATTTCAACTGCTCTTAGGAATAGTTTATCAGAGACCTGTAAGCTGCATGCAAGACTGCCTGGTCGTGCTGAGGAACACGTGCGGCAGAGAAACTGAAGGTGCTGTTTCTCAAAACCGCTGCAGTAAAGGGAAAGTAGGAATAATACCTTGACGGCTTTTTAATGCTGCGTAGAAGCATGCATAATTTCAGCAGTAAGGACAAAAACCCAACACTGAAGTAAATTTTGGCATGAAACAAAAGCCACCTCTGAATCCACCATGTTTAGCTTATCGCTATGTGCTGAGTTCTGCATTATGTCCAAGAGGCACTTGTCTCTGCTTGGCTTGTAAAGGAGGTATGGGGCAGCTGTAGTTCTAGCTCAGATACTTGACTGAGGTGCTTAAATGAAATGACAGCATATTTGTTTCCTTTTACAATATTTTTATGCAGCAATAAGTTGAGTAAGTTTTTTTTAAATTTATCTTGTCAATACTAAAATGTGCTGCAACAAGAGAAGATGTGTTGGGTCACTTACCAGCACCAACCCTGATTTCAAAATGGTTGTGCAGAAGAGCACACTCTGCTGTGGTCAATACGAAGTTACTTTTTAGCAGCACTCCTCCACAGAAGCCTTTCCCTTCTGAGTTTAGCAGTAGCACCTAAGAAAATGCAAAAAGGCAATAGATAGCACTGTCCATGTGAGATTGAGTGCTGGGTTTCATGAATTGCTAGAAATACCTGCCAGGGAAATCGCTCGTCATTTTTCTTCCTGGTTTCACTTATCAGATTATCACTGTCTTGAAGTCTGCCACATGCACATTCATCTAGCAAATGAATTAAAAAAAATTCAAAATCTTGTACTGTACCATTTCAAGATAGCTAATACCTGCAAATGCCTTATTGCTTCCACCTTGACTTTTGGATTTTGTTTTTGAACAAAGAAAAAGGAGAATGACAAATTTCTCAGCTGATGAGAATTGGAATAATTTGCTTGGCATTTGTAGTCGGTTTAGCAAGGGGCTGAACATTTTGGGTCATTGTAGTGACCGGATTTCACTGTGTCTGTAGCTAAGGAAATGAGGCTTCCTCTCCAGCCAAGCATCAGCACAGCTTGCTTTTTCAGTTTTATGTCCTGTATTCGAATTGTGCCAAATACCTGATAGCTGTGGCCCAGTCCAGATAAGGTAAATCTGAGGTTTTCTTTGTTAAAGCTGTCACTCTAGGAATGACCTTTGAACCATACCTTTCTGTTATGGTTCAAACAACATGAGTGCTCTACAACTGGATCACCCAGTTATCTGCATTTGTCACTTTCAGTTCACCTTGTGGTTTGCTTTTGGGTCACACAGACTGGATTGTGTTCTGGTGAAGCTAAACCAGAAGACACCCTCCAGGAGCACACATAACATACTCTCATAGCTAATTGGTGCTTAGTCCACAGGACTGAACTAAAGCTAGTTTGATGTAAAGCCCACCTGAAGTGTGCACTGAGTGTGGGCATCAGGCTTTCATCACCAAAAGAGTGGCTCTACAGCTGAACTCCTATTTGGCTGCCCCACTTGCTAATACGGACATGGGTCTAAATATACTTCTGTGTTTTTGGTAGGCCGACTTTATAAGGGGGTGATATTGAATGAGATACCTAGTATGAGACTGAAAAGGTGAAAAGAGCTACTGCTTTAAACTAATTAATATGGCAGCAAATGTTAACCTTCACTTATCAGATCATCAGATGCCTGATGGGAATCAATTGAACCTCATTCCCAAACAAACCAGTGTTCAGTGGACTTACTCTTTACAAAACTTAGGAGTGGAAAACCTGGTCTGGTGAGTGATATGTAAGATGATGCCAGTTCTCTCTGCAGACTCATATTTAAATGTTTCGATCAAATATCACTTCTTTTACTGTTACTTTGGCATCTTAGGTGGTGGTCCCTAGATTTCTCCTTTTTCTACCCAGTAATATTCTCGTTGCTTGAGTCTCAGAGCAGGTTGATCATATCTGGGTATGAGGTGGTGGCCTGCCCATCCCAGCCCTGAACAGGTTGCTCCTGTACTTCCATGCTCGCACCTACCTAATGCAATGCACTGTTTTGTGTCCTGCCCAAGCTCATAGCCATCAGCACAGGAACAGTGGTAGGAATTAATTCCTGGGTAGCAGAAGTGGTGACATCCTTCCTTTGCTTCATGGTGACATTCATTTTTAGCTAAACAGAACAAGGGGAGGAAAAACATTGGGAACAGTTCACCCCGAGTATTCTTTCATAGCTTGAGTCCTCTTTACATTTTATTTTTATTCACTTTGTGTGGAGACAGGTAGGGATTCTGGCTTGGTAATATTTCCCAACACACTATTTTTCCCTTGTTAAGCAGAAATTTGAGAGAGCGAGTGCAACATCCACAGACTCATTGCAAGCTGTGTTCCCCCAGCATCTCCCTGAACCGATTCTCTGCACTTCTTAAGTTCTGGGGAGCATTAGCCCTGGGCCTTTCATGTCAACCCGTGGAAGGATGCCATGGTTTTTTTAAACAAAACACAGTATCTGCAGGGAGGGGGACTGTTGCACATGCTAAGAAGGCAACTGTCGCTTGAGGAAGAAGGCGGCCAAGGTTTCTGTTTTTCAGAAAGAACAAATGCATAGCTCTTATTTTGCACACTCATTCTAAGAAACTTAAATTATCAGCTGCCAAAGATAAGAAAAAAAGAAAGGAAGTATAAACTTAGAAACACGTTCAGTCAACTTTCCATAGCTGAACAAACACTTGAAGCTCTAGCACAAAGCAACAGGTGTTTGATCTAGCTCATATGTGGAGAAGTAGCAAAAAACCTCATATAACATGGCTCCTTAAGGCTCACACTGAACAGATCCAGTTCCCAGCACTGGTCCAAACTGTGTCACCTTCTGTGCTCTCCCAGAAGCTGGTCACAATCACACCCCTTATACAGAAAATTACCCTGCCTTGCTGCAGCCAGGGCGTCTCCCACCCCAGGGGACCTCTGAACCAGCAGAAATACTGATGTAAGGGCTGGAAAGTAGAACCTGGCAGATGTAGAAATGTAGGATATGGCCCAGCATGTTTCATGTGCCAGAAAGCATCTGTTTTGCTTTATGCCTTTCAGTTCCACTGGAAACAGTTTGTCTTCTGGAGCCCCTCTGTCCCAAGGGACCAGCTTGTGGGTGTGAGTGGCCTCAGAGGCACTGGGCTGCCTGGGCAGCCAGCCACTCCAGCGCTGCAGCCCTGGTTCTTCAGGCCACACGCCGCCTGGGACCACAGCAGGGCAAGCAGCCATGTAGCACAGGTGGCAGTGGCAGGGCTGCCTTTACAGCCCACCCATGAGGTGGACTTGCTTCAGCCCTTTTGCTGCATCTCTAGAGAAGGGAGACTCGGGGCAGGGACAGACTGCATAGCCTTGGGATGCTGTAATGTTTTGTAGCCGGGCAGCACATATCACTCCTGCTTTACCAAGAACTGTGTGTTTTAACCAAAAACATGATGACTGGCATAATGGGACACCTGCGTATGGTTTCATGGGAACCCCCTCTGAAAGGAGAAGATAGGGCTTCTCTAGAA